ATAGACCGGGTATTGATGTTACTCAGGCTGAGCTTGTTCCCCATTTGAATTGGAGGCGCCAAGAGAAGACTGAGATGGTTGGAAATTGGAAGGCTAAAGTTTATGACATGCTTCATGTGATGGTGAGTGTTAAGTCAAGGCGGGTTCCTGGTGCTTTGACAGATGAAGAGCTTTTTGCTGCAGATGATGAAGAAAGCATGGTCAATGGAGAACACAATGATGGATATGATGATGTATTGACTGCTGAGGAAAGAATGCAATTAGATTCTGCTCTCCGTATGGGGAATTCTGATAATGTTTGTGAAGATGAAGACCATGGGTCGTTTGATGGTCAAGAAAATGGTTCAGCAGTTTCCTATGAGAACTGTGAAGCCAATGGTGCAGTTAAAGAGAAGAAGAGCTGGTTTGGTTGGAACAAGAAAAACACTAAGGGTGGCAGTGATGACCCAGAGGATTCAAAAATTATGAAGAAAATTCTCAAAAATGGCCCCAGAGGGTAGCAACCAAAGACCAGGTGGTGATCAACAAAAGCCAGCATCTGAGTTTCTGAAGGAGGATGCTGGAGATGCCAAGAAGGGAAAAGATAAAAACAGTAAGAAGAAGAAGAAGAAAGGAGTAATCAATGAGTCTAAGAATGAGAGCGAATATAAAAAGGGATTGAGACCTGTGTTGTGGTTGACACCTGACTTCCCCTTGAAAACAGATGAGCTCCTGCCACTACTTGACATCTTAGCAAACAAGGTTAAGGCTGTTAGGAGACTCAGGGAACTTTTGACAACTAAACTTCCTCAAGGAACATTTCCTGTCAAGGTAATTTTTTTTTTTTTTTTTAATTTATTTATCTGCAGTGGCTTTTTAGACACAGCGATTAGATTCCGTATTATACTCATTTTTGGTCTTGTTTTTTTTTGGCCAAACATTTTTTTGTCTTCTGAATAATGCTAAAAATTAAAGTCTTGTTTCTCAAAGAATAACATGAACTACCCTATTTAATTTCATAGTCCATATCTCCTTAGATGAAAATGCTAATTTTTCCTGACTACGGCTTGACATGGTCCATAACAAAAATAAGAGGAATATTATTGGTGTGCAAGACTTAGGGGCCGTTTAGTAATGTCCTTGGTGTCCATTAATAAAAATGATAACAATAAGAAAAGCGCAATTATTGTTTAGTAATGGCAACATGAAATATTAGCCATTATATATAAATATATATATATCTTGATATGGAAAAGGAAAGCTCTTCCTTTCCCTCAACCAAACACCCCAAGAGTTTGGATATCGTTTCAGTCAGGTTGGTTCTACCATGGATTAGGTAAATGTTGAATGATTTAGGCAGTTAGTCAGGTTAGCCCATCTAAACATTAAGGAATTAAATCGTGGTTGAGTGGCAGGTGTGATAACGGTGCATATTGTGCTAGTTTCTGTCTATCTTGGTTCAATATGATGTTTAATTGTCGCTAATACCATTGAATGTACAACGATCATTTCTGGAGATATGTATTGATTGCTTTGTCAAATCACAGCTTGAACTCCATATCAATTTTTTATTGGAGATATTGATTATTAGTTTTTTTTTTTGGGCTAATCTTTTTGGTCAAGCTCGGGGCACTGGCATTAAATTATATTGAATGATTGAGCTGCTTTACTTTTACAAGCCTTTGCTTCTGGGTAGGGAAACACCATTCCGACACTGGCGTTCTACATGTAATGGACATCAAATCTCATCTGATAATCTAAACAATACTCTTAACCATATATATCGGTATTAAAAAAAAAAAAAGCGTTGACATTAAATGCGTTTTGAACATGTCAGATTTCATGTAACTTCATTACGGTATTTATGCTAGTCTTTATTATAATTGTTTTTGATGATGCTTTTATGTTTTAAATGTGGCATATTCTGCATCCATCGGTATGCTTGAAAGGCTTCTGGTTTTGTTTTAATCCCTCATACGCGATGCAGGTTGCCATTCCTATAGTTCCTACTATACGAGTGCTTGTTACTTTTACAAAATTTGAGGAACTTCAGCCAGCAGAGGAGTTTTCCACTCCGCTCTCCAGCCCAGCACATTTCCAGGATGCCAAAGGGAAAGATTCGGAGGGGTCTACATCCTGGATTTCATGGATGAGAGGAAGTCGTGGTGGGCAGTCCAGTGACTCTGATAGTCACCGATATAAGGATGACGTTGACCCTTTCAACATTCCTTCAGACTACAAATGGGTAGATGCCAATGAGAAGAAGCGCCGCATGAAGGCCAAAAAAGCCAAAAGTAAGAAAAATAGGAAGCAAACAGGGACAAAAAGCGGGGATGGAGTGCATCAGTCGGGTGAAGATGTGGAAGAACAATAAGAAACGGTCTACCGGTAATCTTCGCTATGAAAATTGTTGCGAGAAGGAGAATAATTGTCTTTCTTTGTGCACAGCTGACCTTTTATTTCCCCCCTTTCGTGATATTGGATTAATTATTATTATGAAAGCTTTGTCTTCTGGAAATTGTTGTATTGCCTCCACGTGAAGTAAAATTGAGGAGCTAGAGTCTCAGTCCATGTCGCCTTCAATATTTTGGTTTTGTCTAATTTTTCATAGTTGCCAATATTGTACCTACATCTATATACCCTTGATTATCCATCTTACTGTGAGTTAAGAGTAGTGCTCTTTTTGGATGTGCAGAATTTGGGCTTTCCCCCGCGGAGTAAATCGATCCTAAATGTTGTATTTGATAATCATTTTAGGCGGAGGATTTATTACGATGATCCGTGGTGTAGTAAATTGTTCGTTCAAATGGATGAAATAATCATAGGTACAGAATGGATGTGTCTCAACAGTTCAACATATCCTTACTCTGGAAAGAAATGAATGGCAAAAGCGAAAATTGGTGAGCGGACGTGGCAGCCTTGATCGAAGGCGGCGAGGTTGGTAACCAGGGAGGGTAATTTGAAATCTCATTTGTCATGGGTGACCCGGGTAACAGAGGGAAAGAAAATAATCGTCATGCATCCTAATAATTGATTGTAAATAATTAAATGATTAGGCTCATTTAATTTCTAAATTATATTATAATTATTAGATGTTATTCCCTTGTTATATTTACTACATACGTAAAATTAACATACAAGTCAAAACTCAAATAGATTTCTCATGTTTCCTGAGTCGCTCTGTTGCATTTCACTCGTACTCCTCAAATTCATCCACGCTTCAACGGTTTCTTTATTCAAAATGCACGTCTCTCTCTCTCTTTTTTTTTTGGGGGGGGGGGTTTTAAATAGCGTCTCATTTAAATTTACACCCGAACCTGCAAAGCAAGATTGCATTTCTTAAGTTCTAGCTCCCTCCGAAGAAAGGGCCATCTATATTCTGTACAAATAGCACGTCAAACACCGAAAAATTTTAAGAAATAATATGGATCACTCTTATCAGAGCTAAGGGTGTACTATTATTGTTGTGCATGCAGAGAAAGAATAATATTACAAAAAAAGGCGCTGGTTGAGCAGAGAGCTATTTACAAGAATGAAATCTACCAAAACCTGTCCTTGTTGACGCTCAAGTAGCCAGCCATTACCTTTCCCCCAGTATTCCTCATCCCGTCTATGAGGAAGCACCAAGTGGACCCCAATGCTCCCACAAAAAAATCCGACTCAGCAGCCATCAAGAAATTCACCAACGGGTAATTAGTGCTCTTTTCCCTACCCAAGCTCCTTTCGTACTCCGCCATTGACATATTACTCCTCTCTTGCCTTCTGATCTTTGTATAGTAAAACTTCCAATGAGGGTATTCTCTGGTTTTGTCTATAACTTCCTGAATCCAAGTTACATCTTCATAATGTTAGGACACATCTAATATCATAGAAGTAACGGATAATGAGAGTTATAGGAAGTAACAAACTTGGCACCTGCATCTCAGTTGAGAGCCAGATGCTGTCAAGATTAGGGAATCTATTCCTAATCCGGTCGGCGAGCTGCATGTACTCTTCAAACTCCACCAATTTCATCTCACATGCTTTGTCTCCCATCCTGACGTGCATACTTAGAAGGGGCCTTGGGACCCATGACTTGTGATTTGACCACACATAATCATCAATATCCGACCTTCGCTTCTTACCGGTACTCTGCATCACACAAAACCATTAACATTAGAACTAGTCTTGATGGATACAAGTTCCAGACCATGTATTCATGAGAAATCACGTGGCACCTATTATGCATCTACTTTATCTTGCAAGCTCAGCTGAGCATGATTACTCTCGTTCTAGTTGTCTATGTCAAGTACAAAAACTAATGAAAAACTGACAGTGACAAGAGACTAACCTTTGGCCAGTCTCCCGGTAGACCGTCAAGAACCATTTTCGCGGCTAATTTACCAAATGCAGCGTGATGGGCCTCATTCAATAAATTGCACGTGTATTCTGTTGGGAACCTCATTAAGTAGCGTACTGCCTGCAAACATAATTAACAGCAACAACGATATTATGTAATGTAGCAATGCATGTTTCCCATGAACACTTGATCATAAATGTCATCCCCCAAGTAAGCAAGTGCTGAAGATTGCCCGTGTTGTGAAATGACAACACTTCTCCAGCCCAGAGAGGGATCGTGTTAATGGAGCTAGGTGTAGACATAGTCATTGAACCAAACTACTAAAACGGAGAAATAGCTTGGTTCTGCATGTATAACAGCTGACCTGTGCTCTCCACCACCGTCTATCCATTTTCCTATGAGAAGCAAGTAAGCTGCCGTTTATTTCAGTTGTTGGCTGCAAATAGTTCCAAGGCTCACCCCATGTCCTGCAGCATATAGTCATTAGAAACATAAAACTTCTATATACAGATTCTCGGTCTATAAGCTGTTCAAATATTTGTCGTTACGGTTCCAAGAGCTTGCCTGGGTGTTGACCCAGCCCATATATGCTTTGATGCATAATTTTCTTTTGTGGTCACGATTCCCTTTTTCAATGCCTCTTCACTTTTCAAAAGTTCAAAAGCACGGTTGCGGCATTCTTGGGATGTTTCAGGTAAGAAGTAGCAACTCCAACTAGACTGGGAAGACCCTGCATATAAAACATTGCTAGTTCATAGTATTGCCCAATTCACCGTATATTGTTCACCAATACGGTCCAAGATAAAGCATTAGAAGTATGACCATGTTGTACCTTTGCAACCATCATGGTCAGCCCTATTATAATAGTTGGTGACAAGGACTCTTCCTTCACTGATTGCAATGGCAAGAAGTCCACACATTCCAGCAATCTGAGCCCCAATGCCAAACCCAGGTAACCTCTCCCAGTCAGCTACAAGGAACTTGACATCTGGGTCCCTGCAGTTTAGTGGATGCTGATGCATCCATAAATCCCTCTGCACTTTTCTAGTCAAAGGATAGTTTTCTTCATCAGATCCTGCAATCTGTGGAAGTACCCTATGTAAGCAAATTGTTAATAAACCAAAACGACCCATCTTTTTATGCTAAAATAAAGCTCGTAAATGTTCCTTGAACATCCACAAGTTGTTAGTCAAATGATGATCTCGTAGAGATAGAAACTAGGTTTAAGTAGCAAAGTAGTCAAGCTAAACTGATAGAGTTTTTGACTTTCGAACAAGGCAAAAATCAAAGGAAGGAAATACATTCCATGTCGTTTCTGAGTCAAACAAATTATGAGGCACATACCCAGGGAGGATAAGTGCCGTCTGATGCAGCCTTGTGACTAAAATATTGAATGTGCGCGTTGTTTGCAGAAGCTGGGTAGGCAGATAAAAACCCTTTCCAACTTGTCCATGGAGGGAAGCTCTCATTTCCAGTACGCTTATCAAGGCGCTCATATAGCTTTGCTTTCACCTTGCAGTTTTCCAAATGAGGTGCACTTGGCAAGCTGGACCCACTAATTCCAAGTTTCTGCAACTTCTCAAATGTCTTGTTTGAAGATTTGGTCAACAAACCACTCCACGCTGAATAAAGCAAAGACACTTTCCCATCGCTGTTTCTCTCTCCACTGCTCTTCAAATCCTTTAATCTCTCTGTTTCCTTCAGTTTCAAATCACAGCCCGTAGATGTAACCTTGTCTAACAAAAAGAAAGAATATATATTCAGCCAGTTGTTTCATCCATCTCTAATCTATAATTAATTCAATCGCTGAGGCCCTGCATGCTATCCCAATCTATGCTGTAGTAGGAGTCAAAAGTTAAAAAAAGAAAAGAAAAAAAAAAGTACAGTAATTACTTGGTAGAGTACCCTTAACGTAAAGGGCTTTTAATTTAAAGTCGCTTCAATTACAAGACTCGGATTATTCTCATCAAGTTCCCTTCACGAGAATTTGAACATAAGCGTAATGAACCTTTCTTTTCACTCAACTTTGAAAAAGAGTAACAATTCATCATATCATCTGTTCAATCCCTACAGCAGAAGTGAAAGATCCTTGTTTTCCTACCTTCTTTTCAGCCAGACCCAAAAACCAGTTGCAGGGTCCTTTTGCATGAAAACCAAGCATCAATAAGAATCGATAGAAATGAAGAAGGAGAAATTGACTTACTTAAAATGCCGGAACTTGAATTAGCTAAGGACATGGATGAGAATGAAACCGGACCAATTTGAATAGTGCCAAAGGAAGTCAGAGCAGCCAAAAAGAAAGAGGTAAGGCAGACTCCGCAGAGAAATCCCACCACGCAAATTTGACACGGAAACGAGCTTCCCATTTGCAGAGCCTTCTGTGACACCACTCTCTCCAGAGACTTCTGATTTAATGCCTCCATTTTCAACTCGTGCCCCAGGAGTTGAGCACTTTTTCTCGAAACTGACGAGTATCTCGAGACTCCACTCACAGGACACGTTTCTCCGACTTTTCAATTTTCATTTCGATCAACTCAGGCTTCAATAAATTGCTTCTTCCAACAACTCCAACGCCGATGACACGAGACGTCATAAATCACAGGACCCTGGCTTTTCGCACATCAAGCGCTTCAGGAATTTCGCGGCAAATTATTCCGACTGTAGAAGATATAAAGTCGGTTCTCACTCAACGCCACACCCAAACAACTCAATATCAGATAAAATTAAGGCCAAGGCAGGAAATTCTCTTTGAATTATGGGGAAATGAAATTATCAAGAAATGAAAACAGTAATTAAGCACGGAAGGCTGAATTTGGAGGTCTAACTCGCCACTTGGCAGATTAAAGGAGGAATAGGAAGAGAACTAGAAAAAGCTATGCCAGGAAAAGCCGCAAGCCCGGTTACAGGTTTTGAAAAGAGTCCGGGCCTTGTTGTTAGAAGGCTGAAAACAAAGGCAGCACGGAATGAGAAAGGCGGTCAGGAGAGAGGAGAGTGTGCAGGAGGAGAGATGATCAGGTGAAGAGGATAAGAATCTGCGGCCTGGACAGCTTTGGGCAGGTATTCGTATCTGACCAGTGACCCCTTTAGTGAACATAAAATGAAAAGTGGGAAAAACAAGGGAGGGAACCGACAAAAGGGGACGAACAGCGAGGAGAGGAAGGTCTGGGGAAGGTGTAGTGGCGAGGATAGCGACTTTATGGATGAACAAAGACAATTCACTCACAAGGTGGTAATACCCTGACAATGAAGCGAAGGATCAACTGGGTCTGTCCCTCTGCTGCTCCAGTCCCCTCTCAAGTCTCAACTATTCCTTCACATGAATGATCACTTCCCTTATCACCCGGCCTTTTTTTAATTTCAAGTGGGGGGTTTCTTTTTCTTTTAACTCATAAAATCCAAAAACACACACTATCATTAAAAAAATGACATTAGGTAAAGTAAGATAACCAGTGCATGAGTATGTGCAAGTATTTAAAGCTGTTGACTTTTTCGACAAAAGAAGAAGTACTTAAAACTCTGTCTTTTTTTCTTTATTTAAGGAAACTAAAGATGAGCGATGTGTTGTGTATGGGTTGGCTGGGTTTTTTTTTTTTTTCCTTTTAAGAAGTATGCTGATTATTTTCATGGAATAGCCGGGTGAGCATCACAGTTTGCTTGCGGTAGGGGGCTGTGGGAGAGCAAGAGGACAAAAGAGGAGCGAGGGTGGGGCCAGGGCGTGAGATGGACACGTGGAACAACGGAAGAGCGAGTAAGGTGGGGCAGAAAAAAAATGATGAAAAGGTTTATGGGGAAAGAAGAAGCAGATGATAATGATGATGCTAATAATAAAGGTGAGGCTTTGAAGTCAGTTCAAGCTGTAAATTTATTTAATCAGCCATTCCATGCTCTTTCAAATTTGATATGGTACGCTACTGTTGTGTATTGATTTATTGGATTTACTTTGTGTATATTTGCTCTATTTTTGTTACAAATATATTATGTGGTATGCCCAGGATACACAACAGCCAAATCTTCATATGATAATTATCACAACAATAATAAACACAAAATGAAATTTAATTTGAATAGTCTAGGTTTAAAGTTCTTAACGTGCGATTTTTAATCTTTATTTGAGATTTTATATCTAATAAAATAAAGTATGAAGAATTAAATTAAGAGTTGATTGGACGGAGTATGGAACGCGATTCCCGCAAAAACGGAGATTGTACGGGACTTACTGCCATCAAAGAAGGTGATCGCATCATCCTTCTTCAGCCCGCAAAATATTACTGCGAAAAATCAAATTAACAATCAAGAAATTCGAATATAAAAAGTTATCACATGAAGGCCAACAATCCTTACAGGGGAAAAAGTCGTGTGATATTAAAATGAAACGACCAGCATTATTATCATTATTAGCGTGTTACTTTGCTTTTTAAATTGTTTGTTTCTTTTTTCCAGATTTCATATGTTTTACAGAAAGAGTTATGTTCCGGCGGAAACTATCACAAGAAGTATTTATGCTTTTTTTTTTCCCCTCCCCCAACCAAAATGTATTCATTATTTAATTAGTTCTGCTGAGTTCTTATCAAACCGATAATCTTGTTTGTGAAAAACTAAAAGCAGCTGATTTAGTACTGGGAAAACGGGCCGGCCCGTGACGGGCTCGGATTTAAACAGGCCGGCCCGTTTAAGCCCGAGTTCCAAAAATAAGTCATTTTTTCAAGCCCGGCCCGTGAGATGACGGGCTCGGGCTAGCCCGCGGGCTTTTGGTCTTTTTAATTAAAATATTTTTTTTTATTTTTTTGTATATTTTATCAAAATAATAAAAATGAAACAATAAAAATTACTAATAAAATGTATAAATATAAATAAAATTGAGTCACAAATATAAACATTATCATGTCTAACACATATTACAGTATAATAAAGTCTATTGAATAAACAAACTAAATAGATGACAGACATAAACAACTAAATAAGCATTAAATTCAGTAGATAATTACAATGCGGATGATCTAGTTTGATTATAAATAATTAACAAAAAAGTTTAACTAACAAATATAGTATACATAAAGAATAATCATTTATCATACCGACAAAAAAGAAAAGAGTCCATCATTCTTAGTTCTAAATTTGTTTCTACTATAAAAATGATATAGATCTTTATTTTAGTTTAAAAGATTTTTTGATCAATTATATTTCAAGTATAAAAAATATGGGAGAATGATAAATAAAGACTGTAAAAATTATAGATACAGTATTTTAATAGGTTTTGACAACTTATAAATAACAATATATTTTTATGAATATACCTAGTTTTAAATTTTGCAATTTTCATGTTTTTTTGATTATTTTTCCCACAATTATAGTGATTCTTTTTTTCTTTTTGTGAATGCTATCTATGTGAGCTGCCAAGATAAGTAAAACTAAGAGTATGCTATGTTTAAAATGTTAGGGTTTTCTTTTTTAAATTAAGAAAAAAGGACAGAAATTTTTAAAAAAAATTTGGCGGGCCTAAACGGGCCGGCCCACGACCCTACAGGGCCGGCCCGTTTATTTTTCGGCCCTACAGGACTGGCCCTTTTAAGCCCGACTTCTCTTTCAAGGCTCCAAAATATAAGCCCGACCATCGATTTAAACGGGCTTAAACGGGCCGGCCCGACAGGCCCGGCCCGTTTTCACAGCTCTAAGTTGATTCCGTTTTTTAAAAATATATATATAGATATATTTGCATGGCTGTGCCTGTCCACATGATCCAGCGCGTCAGTTGTGTTGCTTTTATCTGCTCAAAATAAAATATTCAGCGCGTTTATACATAATATGCCACTGATGATGACACTAATAAATAATATGATCCGGTCTTTAATATAGAATCTAATTTTTGAGTTGATTTTGATTCTAAATATAAGATTCATTTATCATATTTATCAATTTTTTCTAAATTACCCCTATAAATATTTCCTCAACCATAATCAAGTAGAAGAGGGAGAAGAAGTATTAAGAAAGATAATTATGGTGTTTTAGAAAAAATGTGTCACTTTTTTTATAACTAACTAATTTACCTAACTTCCTTAATCTAATCAAATTAGTTAAATAGGTCTTATATTAAGGACTGAAAGAGTGATAATGATAATAACACTACTTTCAATTTTAATTATAAAACTAAAAACTTAATGGATAGGAGAAATAGAGGCGCGCTGGCCTTAAAAAAAAGATTAATGGGGTGTTTGGAAGCACTTTTTTGTAAAACAAAATAAATTTCTTCATATATTTATTTCGTATATTGTAAAAATACTTTTAAAATTATAGTTTCATTTCTACCCAAATACTTCCTAAGCCGAAAAGAATTAATTGAAGAGGCAGTTTCAGTGGGTCCAGTTAATTAGATTAAGCTGCCGAGTCGGTCAACAGCACCCTTCGAGGAGTACAGTCTGAATGTCTCACCTGCCGCTCAACTCAACGGATGGAGGCACCCCTGCCTCCAGATTCCTAATTTGTAGCATGGGGTGGTTTCCCTATAATCCTACCATCGACTTTCGCCAACTTATCCAAGCAACCAAACAAAAATAACGATTATTGCGGTATTACCCGCTCCCTCCAACCTTCATGAGCATAAAATTACATTCTACAGACAATGAATGGTTTTTTTTTTTTTAATAAATCACTTGATGAGATATTGAGTTTTCCCCGTATTACACGCATTTAAAGTCAACTATGATTAAAGACATACTGTATTGTAACTGCCTCGATCTTTAATATAAGATTTTATTTAACTTTTATTTGGTCCTAAATATAAAACTTCAATCCACTTTATCTCTCGTTTTTATCCATTTTTTTCAAGATAGTCTTTGTAATAATAGTAGCTCTAGTCAATACACTTGATTGGTAAAAATATTTTAGGAAAAACATCTATTTATTACAAATAACTAACTTAACTAATTTTCTTAATCTACTCAAATTAATCAACTAACTCTTATATTAAGGATTGGAGGTAGTATAAATTTTTTATTTCAATTTCATTTTCAGATAAAATTAATAACTTAGCCGTCCATACTTTTCTTTCTTTTGCCAACACTTAACTATTCCTTCTTAACTTATGTGAATATCATTTTTTTTTAAAATAAAAGGCAAAAAATTTAGATGCGGTCTAAAATTTTTTTAAAAAACCATGTTATATATTTATGAATTATAAATAGTATCTCCTCAAATTTCTCATAAAACAAGTACCGCAGATCGGTTATGTAAGTATAAAACTTCTCAAAATCAATGCATGCTTTTTGGGCATGTGAATCCAGGTTTTTTTTTCCCTCACAAAGAGTCCTCATTGGAACCTCATTCAAACCCAAAGAAAAAGATTTTAGGTTGGGCACCAATCAAAGAATAAAGGAGGTGGCCAGCTCACGAATTGACGAGGAGAAGGGAGCTCAGGGCAAGTCACGAACAAGGGCTCCGGCTTCAAATCTCCATTCGTTCAAATATTGAGGCCTTGAGGGTAATGCCGTCAGTTCAATTTTTTACAGTGTCTTGGGTTTTCATAACAATTAATTTCTCACGCTCGGTATCCTTCAAAACTGGAATAAAAAAATTTGTTAATTTCTTTTACGTTTTTCTGATTTTTCTTTGGTCCCACGGATTATCTGTTTTAATGTTAATATGCTTATATATTAATTAATAAAATTTACTTAAGTAGACAAGATTTATGAATCACAGGTAGCATCACACATTCAGAAAAAAAAGGCACCATATAGTCTACGAAAAAATAAAATGGAGGATGTTATTCGTATTATTTATTGGGGCGAACGTTACTTTACTTTATTACTATTTTTTTTCCTTTCAAATTTTATATGTTTTATAAAAAAGAATTATGTTCCCGCGCAAATTATCACAAAAAGCATCCATTCTTTAATCAGGTATGTTGAGTTCTTATCAAGCGGATAATCTTTTTTTTTAATTCTTTTTTATAAAGATTCCTCATTCGTTTTTTTTTTTAATAACGCCGAGTTCTCTGATTTAATGTTCATAAAAATAAAATATTCGCACAGCTGTCCACGTGATCCAGCACGAACGTTGCATTGCTTTTATGCGCTTAAAATAAAATTTCCAGCACGTTTATATATAATACAATAGTGATTGAATATGGACAAGCAAGCGGAGCATAATATTTATGAGGGTAATTAACCTATACGGATTTTGTTAATGAGGGCGCCAATAGAACAGAATCGCTTCCCTCGAAAAATACGGGGGAGGGGACCATGGCTCGAATTAATTGAAGGGGCAGTTTCAATGGGGCCCACCTAATTAGCTTATAAGAATATCCTTACGGGATTGCCTGCCTGTCTAATACATGGCTGAGCCTGATCCTTGGTGCTCAAGTTTCTGTGACTAATTTTCATTTTGAGAAACTTCACTGTGATTGTAGTTAAATTTGAATATAAATTCCCTTCAATCTCAACGGAACTTCCATGAATACTTATAACTTTCAGTTTATAAATAATGAGAAGAAATTTTGGGTATGGTATAAATTGAAAAAAAATCAAACTGGGACCATAGCTTCTCAAAATTTGGTTATGTTAAATTTAAAATCTTGTCAAGATCAGGGCATGTTCTAAGGGATGTGAACGGATCATTCGGCCCTGACTTGAACATGGTAATTTGAAAAAAATTATTATTTTAAAGTTATTTTTTATGCATTGATGGTTCAAATGCAGCATTATTTTGATTTTTGCATTTTTCGGGTTAACACATCACGCTTTACCTTACCCAGCACAAATATTTAAATTAAAGATATAATACATATACGGCATGTGACCACAAATTAGACGCGGATCATTACACAAAATATAAAAACATGAAATGCGTGGACAAGCAGCTTAATATAATACTCATTAAATTACTCCCTCCCATGCCACTCATGCATAAGACAGTGTGCTCACGGGTCCTTACTCTGAACCCGTTTCAAAATTTAACCAACCATTAAGAATACATTTTTAAAAATAGCAGTTTGATTGAGAGTGATTTTGGAAAAATGTAAAGATCTCTAATAGTTAACCAACCTTAATTAATTTCCTTATTCTCAGGATATTAGTTAGCACTAGTAATGGGGATTTATTAAAGCCCTACTAACTACTATTGATGAAGTCATAAAGGAAAGGACAGAGAAGATGGTAGTTAAAGCGAGCGGGTCAACTCCTGTTGACGTTGCCTAATTGCAATGCAAGTAAGTGGGTCAACTAAACAGAGCACAAAGGCCCAACTTCGGAAGCCCATGACAAAAACCTCAACGGTCAAATTATTTGAAAGTTCCTTCAGATTACGGCATTCTGAAGGCTTTCTTGACCGTTTTCCTCCTCTGTCATGCATCCTCGCGAAATCCCACCTCCCCCCCCCCCCACACAAAAAAACCTCTGTTTCCCTCCCCGAGAGTTAAGTAAGTCTAAGGAAGTCTTCTTTCTTCTTTAGACGTAAAGGCACTTTATAGAAGCTATCAGCGCCTAATGATGGTGTGCTTTCTCACTTGTTTTGGCGCCTCCAAACGCCGAGAACGCCACCCTTCCCCTCACGCAACTCCTTCTCGACATCAAGTATGCTCTCATTAGCTCTCACGCTTTCTGTTCCATCCATGCCTCTCTCTCTCTCTCTCTCTCTCTATGTGTATATACTTATTTCCTCTCACTATATGGCTACAGACTCATGTAGCCGATGAAGATGCCAAGCGTCAATACGCAGAGCAAAAGATTCTTGAAGAACCCATTACTGACACACAAAAGTAAGCTATCCATACTGACCTGCTCACCGCCCATAGAACTTCTTTTTCCACTGCGCAGCTCTCTCTTTTCGCTTTTTTTTTTCCTTTTTTCTCATTTAGCTGCTTGTTAATTTGTTCAGAATAAAACTTGAAGAGCAACCAAGAAAGAGGGGCATAGAGAAAATCACGCATGACCTGAATGCAAATGCCAATGGAGAGTTATCTGCCAAGGAGGTAAAAAAGTTGGAGGAAAGCACAACGGAACCCGAGAAAACAGAGAATGAAGCAACCCCTCGCATAAACCGTGGTCCCGAAGCCACTGCTGACGGCTTGAAGGATGAGAAGAAAGGCGAACATGAAGAGGAGGATGGCGTTAATCGAAAATCGCTTCCTGCGGAATCTTCAGAGTCATTGTTCTCTCTATCCATTGATTCTCGAAAGCATGTTTCTGCAGCTGAAAAAGCCGAGCATGAAGTTGACAGCCCAATGCCACCCAGGGATGCTACCTCAAACACAAAAGACGGATCTGGCACATTTGGGTGGAGTCACGACGGAGTTCAAGTGAAGCCCGTCAAAGCAGAGGAAAATCTTGCTCAAGGAACGCCTTTCAAAATAAAGGATAGCCCAGACTTGTTCACAATTAACTTGAAGGGACATCAAAATGGAATGCGAAGAGGAAAGTGGACTTTGACTTGAAAGTAAATACGAATGAAGAGCCATCTGCCCCGCAAATAATAAGGAGTTTCAATGAGAACAAACAAGACCAAGACGAAACACCTCGAGTAAGCGAATGCCCCAACTCCGCAGCATCAGGAAAGCCATCTCACTTCTCCCGGCGCAGATACCAAGATTGCCCTGACGAGGAATGCGGAGATTTTGATTTGGGTGAAGATGATTTTGGTGATAAGTTCGTTGATGATGATGATGATGCTGACAATGAGGAAAGAGGCGAAGGCGATGGGGCATTTAATCGAACGTGGATTCAAGAAGAGTCCTCAGAATCATTATTTTCTCTATCCACCGGCTCTAGAAAACAAGTTTCTGAAGCTGAAAAAGCGGACAATGAAGTTGACAGTCCGATGCCCTTCCGTGGCACAGAAGCTTTCGTCGGCAGGGGTAGAAGGATTCAAAATGTTTCCTCAGTATTGAATCCAATTGAAAATATAACTCAAGCGAGGGTGGAGAAAGCAACAGCAATGCAGACGCTGAAATACGAAAAGGAAAACATCAATTCAGAGAGAGATGTCACTGGTATGCCCAGGAGCGGAGAGGCTAGTTTGGAGGTGTCCGATGGTAAAGCAAGACTCGAGAAGTTCGATGATAAAAATCAAGAAGAAATCGGAGTCGACACCAGCCTCTCCAGCTGGTTGGTCGAAATAGAGACCACACCCAACTCCAAGAATGGCACGAATTCTGTGGGAGCCTCCACAACACCCATAAGTAAAAGGAGCTCGTTATCACAGGTGAGTCATGAAGATAGGCCGATTCTTGGAGCGTTGAGCATGGAAGAGTGAGGAAGTTTTCCGTATCAAGTAAACCTTCAAGCAGGTCGAAAAGCCGAAGTCCAGATGAAACGCCAATCATAGGTACTGTTGGGAGCTACTGGAGTTATACAGGGCAGGCCATAAATTCAGAATCGCCGAGTTCTTGGGGTCGAATCCAAAATCAGAGAGGTACTCATTAGTTAGTAACACTGATGGGGGAAAGAGGGAGCTCGAGACAATTCTGAACCTGATGTCCTCTCATGAAAATTGTCTTTCTTGAAATGATATGCGAATTCTAATCCAATTGTTCTCCAACTCATAGCTGGGATCTCGCGGAGACGATTCCAATTGCTTTCTTTATCTTTATTTTTATTTTGGGGTTAGGTCAGGCTGATTCTCTCAAGAACAACAGTCATTGTTCAAATAAAACCGGTGCTTTAATGGTTAACATTCCAGGCTAAGCTTTACATTTGGGAATTTATAATATCAATGATGATTGTCAAAACTAAGGATTTAAATCTTTAAATACGAAAGTGCGATTTTTTAAAATAATACCTTAATGTAAGATTAAAAGAGAGATGTGATATTATTTATAGCTTCCAGATCTACATTATAATTTTGTTGTTTTAGCACTGTGGCCATCAAACACCAAACAGAGTTTTTTTTTTTTTTGGTCAGAAAACACCAAACAGATTGAAATGCAAAGAAGTTTTCATCAACCTAAATTACGATTCAAAACGTCATTCATGCACGAAATGGGAATGTAATTTTCCATAAATATTCATTAGAGCGGTTAGGTACATTAACATATATTTTGCAACATTAAATTTTTGTCGGGCAAAACCTCTAAAATAGTTTTAAAATAAGAAAGATTTTAGTTTTCATAAATCCTGGAAGCTAAACATCTTGGAGAATTAGACTTGCGACCTTGCCCAACTTCCGTCAGTTTTATAGTTATTAAAATTGTCTCGTGTTTGCATTTTTAAGTTTTTTTTTTTTTAAATTAGAAGAACGGGCACCAACAATTTAAAAGGTGATGTCAAACTCACAACAATCTGAAATTACAAATACAAATAAGATTGAATTTACAACTTCTCAGCTATTGAGGTATTAAATCATGAGATCATTTCTTACACTTGTAAATTCTAATATGTCTAATTCAACCATAAAGGTAGAACAAATTCAACAAGATATCAATGAGAACTTCCAAATTCAACAACATTGAAAAAAAAAAATATCTACAGCAAATGTCAGTAGTAGCACAGCCAGCTAGAACGGTTAGCCCAAATCGGACAAGAAATTGTTGGACAGAAATAATAAATTTAAAGGGCAATTCCAACAAATTATCCCCAGAAGCAGCGATACTAGATGCCATTGCAAGTTAGAGAATTCTGCTGTCACCTGCTTTTCGCCCGTTTGGAGGCCGGTGCACCCAACTGGTCATGCCCCGCCTCTTCTTCATTAGTAACTTTAGTTCCTTCCACCTCTTGCTTTGTGCAGGCATCCCCAGAACATTCTTCGCCCGCGGTTGTTGCATTGATACTGCTGATTCCAGATGTTTCTGACCCTCAATCGCGGGGGAATTTAATACCGTGGGCCCGTCTAAGGAGGAGGGTAATGTCTTGTGTTTGCCGTCCTCCATTTCTCTTTGTTTCTCAAACATCATCTGAAGACGCTTCCCTTGGTTTTCTATTTGAATCTGCAACTTTCTTTGAATCTGCGTAACAACTATAGCATCAGAATATGCCAAAACTTAAAGCTAGCCCCATTTTAACCCCCTGTCAAAATAGTATCCTCTTCTATGAATTACAAGGTACACAACCCCTAAACTGTAAGAACCCCAGACCGACCAGAAAACCTGGGGTAGGATGTTACGAATATTTGCAGCACTTCCACAGTCTAAGCACAAGTTGCTTCAGGCAGAAGCAAAGTATTTCGAAACAACTTTTCAACTACAGTACCTAACAGGCTGACACATTTGACAAGGTATTTTAATTTCTAACAGAACTAATCTTCCATTTATCATGATCAATGGGGATGTGCAATCATCAATCAATATTTGACTTGTAAGTTTAGCATGTAAAAAATTTTGAAGTAGAAGTATAACAAAGTGATCCTTAAGTACCTCAAGTTGTTCATGAAGCCGCTTCTGGAGTTCCATCTGCAACCGCAACGCCTCAGTAATCCCCATGCTACTGCAACCAAAATCCAAAATACGGTTTTGCTCATCGTTTAATTTAATGCAACTGAATCACACGGAGCAACAGTTGACATTGTAAATGGGAACAATAAGCATTATTGCCGTGGTAAAACTCTAAGTATTGCAATGAGATAATCAAATACATGTAATATAAATTAAGGTAGATTTACATTCAGTAAATAATGAACTCTGCCAGATGAATACAACAAGAGCAAACAATCTGGCACTAGAAATAAGATGAGTCAACAATTGTATGGCACTGTGATTGCAGAAGATTGTAGACAAAGGAAAATACTCACGCTGTCGAGTCTGAAGATTTCATTTCTTTGGTTGACGTTGACTTCTTCTCAGAGGCTCCTGCGGATAGGAAAGAGACAACAGAGGGGTCGATGTCCCTTACATAGTTTGCATCTTGACAGACAAAGGACAACTTATATTAAACAATGGAGTTATTATATAAACACATGCACATACCTCCTGATGATTCGGGCTTGAATCTGGCTGTTCTATACTTCTGAAATTAAAATAACAAGCAGTTCATAAAAAAAAAAAAACCTTCAATAAAGACAACAGGGGCTAGTTTAGTGTAGATATCTATGCCTCTGACAATAGGGGCTGATCTAGTGTAGCTACCTATGCCTATGGTAATACAGCTAAAGAGAAGATTTTTTTTTTAATAAAAAAAAACTACCTGCAGATGGCTTTTCACATGATATATAGTAAGACCCTCAACTTTCATTAGGTTCAAAACACCCTTAGGAGTAGCCTCTGCATATTAACATGGGACCGTGTAAAACATCACCACCTATGAAAAGGTCAATAGGTTTGACAGCAAAGAGAAGGAAACATACTCTCACTACCACCAAGCTTATTCACTGCTTCCACGAAAGCTTCATGAAGTTCTGGAGTCCAACGCATTCTAGGCTTACTTTGTAGTGCATTCGTTGCTGAAGTAGGAGGAGCATTAACTTCTCCAGATGGTGCATCCTGCTGCTTGGTGGAGTGGGTCCCCTGCATCAACAAAGTAGGATACGCTTCAGTATCTTATATATAAGAAAGGCCGATATTAATGTACACCCTAAAAAGGTATTTTGAATTAATGAGAACCAGAGATACAGAAAGGGAAGAGAAATGCACAATGTCTACATACACAAAAACGAAATGTGCATAATACTGAAACCATTTGCAAATAGAATCAAGCACCTTTAAGCTTCTAAACACATCATATTTATCTACACGCTGAAAGATGTAAAGGGAAGGGAAAAACAGAGAGAACCACATGGCATGCTTTATGGAACTGCAATTATCCCCATGACTAGAAGGTTCAAGAGTTAGACACATATCACTTAAGGTATTTAGCATCTACAAGAAGGAAACAGGATCACAATTGACTAGATTTTTTAAATCTAACCAAAAATAGTTCATGCGTTAAAACAACAGTCATCAGACCACAGAAAGGCATCCGTGCTCAAAATCAGTTTGAGAAACAAACCTCTGATTTCGAATCCGGTACATTATCATCAACAAGAAGCTGGCTCCAGTTTGGATGAGGAGATTCATCGACTGACATTAACTGATCTACCCACTCCCCAAAATCAGTTTTTTTGGAGTTGTCATCAGACATAAAACAAGAACTATTTTCCATCTGATCGTTCTGTACGGAATCATTTACAGATAGATTAAGAATATCCTGAAAGGGATCTGGTCCCCATGAAATATCATCACTTTCTGGGGGTCGAGAAACGAATGCTGCCGAGTGTATTTCCGGATAACAAGAATGTGAAGGTGGGAAAGACGCATCTTCCCCACTCTGAGTAAGGGAAGTTCCTTGCGGGGGCATTACATCGTCTCTTCTCAATGTCTTAGAAATGAAGGGAGAATTTTGATGCTGCCTATCATGTTGAGAAATTGAGGAAGAAAAAGCGATGCCATTCAGGCATTTAGAAGGTGATGAAAACATGTGCCCACCGCTTTTAATGTTGGAGTCTGATGAAGCAGCCTGTACTGAGGCAGGATTTGCAGTCAGGTCTCCTGCAGTCAAGGAAAAAGAATCTAGAGGTTTCATATATTTGTCTTCAATACGAGTGGGAAGAAGAGGAAAAGATGAAGACATTACCCTGAAGTCTCTCAATTGACTCAGCTCTGTCTGGCCTGATGTGAAAAGCAAGTAGAATGTCAGTTACTCAACCATTAATAACAAAATACAAAGTAATTTCATGAGCCTGTTTTATTGATGTCAATAGTCATGAGCATAGCTTCTGGCGTCTCTGAGGATAAAACAGCTCAGTTGGCCATTGAATAAAAACACAAGGAAACAGATATAAACAATGGCGGTTAGCCCAATGTAGATAATAAGCCTAAGTATGCAATTAATGCAGAAATTTGAACATACAATACTTCTGAATTCGTCAATATACAGGGGTGAAAAAGGAGTAGTTATAGGTCGGCCAAAAAATACTGAACTACACAACTTATCAACAAATTCTGTGCTGGAGTCAAACAGGAATAGCTACGTAATATTGTACCACCCACTAACCAATGCTCATATGCATGGCAAGCTTGGAAAATATCATTGAAAGAAAGACAAGATTCCTTTTTTATTTTATTTTTTTGGGGTGCCTGGCAAACGAACAGTGGCTAATAAGAGTATGAGCGAACTTTGAGCGGTAGTCAACAGGAGATATTAAACAGCTGAATCCATTTCTAGTGAAAGATTAAAATTGTTTTGCGGAAGAAAGGTTTTATTTGGCTTGAAGCATAGAGCAGAAGCTGGTCAAGCCCAAGAAAGTTCCATAATGATTTCCGAGCATCAGCTTCTAACAACATGAAGTCATAAAACAGGAATGGACCGAATCCCGGTACCCAACTCGATTCATTACTTACTTAAACATTTTAATACGCGCAAACAAGGAATGGAGTCAGAGCCATTAGGATAGGGAACGGTGATATAGAAAAGGGGTGCGGGGACCGTTAGAGTTAAATCATGCAGTCGGTTCAGTTTGAACACAAGATACTCGAACTTTCAATTCCATGAGGGTCATCCTGCCGGAATTCACCATCTGTTTCAATTACCGAATATAAAATCTTCCACGCCGCCAATCAACGAGAAGAAGATACGCCCACCCGCAATCCATTCAATCCTTTTTTAACAGAAGAAGGAGAGCCGCTGCTTCGCTAAACACATTGGAACCAGCAAACAAAACTCTTTGTCGAGAGAGGAAGGAGCACAGCACGAGAATGCTGTGCTATCAAGGTCCTATCAACGACTATTTAGGAGACTCAATTGCAAGAAAAGCAAAACAGATCAAGATCCACGGTAAGGAATCAATCAAATTACAAAAAACAACAGAGCAGTAGAGGTAATAGAAGTTTCCATGGTGTATTGAAAACCCAAATTATCTCAACTAAAGCCAAAAAGAAGCGGAGTTATTGGCAAAAACTCAAAGTGGGCGTATAGAAAGCTGACCTGTAACTGGGAGGGAAAAGAACAAGCAGGTATTACGTTAGATAAGCCGGGAATCTGAGCAAAAGCAGATGCGAAAAGGAGAGTGGAGGAAATAGGGAATGAGAACGATGCAGCGAAGCAGGAAATGTGAATGGATACGATTTGGGCTTTATGGCAATCGTATTTATCTAAAAGCAGTTTTCAGGAGGCAAGCTTCTCCCTATCCGTCTAATAAGAAAGACGTACAAGGCTTTTGTATTTGACTCGCATGATTGGTGGGAAATTCTCTGGGCAGAAGACGGTGTTGTTAATCGTGGGCCGTCGGATTGGGGTGGCATCCAAAGGCGAGTGTTGACTTTTGCGTTTAGCGAGAGAAGGAAGCGCTGTAGTAGTTTGCTTGCAAAGGTGGCGAAAGGCTGCGAGGAACCAAATTGACGTAATCATTAATCATCGTTGTAATTATGATTATGATTATAAGGGTGTTCGGATAAAAATCAAACTATGATTTTAAAAGTGTTTTTACGATTTACAAAATAAATATATGAAAGAGTTTGTCTTGTTTTGCAGAAAAACACTTCTTGGAAACAAACACTCCTATGATGATGAATGATACTCCTTTTGGCCAGTTTCCCGATGGCCTTGTTCTGCCTTTCTTGCGCTCCCAAGTCTCCTGAGGTTTTGTGCACGCCAAAATGAATGAACAACTTCAGACTAATTCGATGCGTTTTGGTCTTGCCTCCCTCCTCTCAACAGTGTATTAGCTGTGAAACTTCCCGCATGTTTCCGAATCCCAATATGCCCACTACTAAGTATGTTCTCAACCCCTTCTTTTCAAAACTGTTTATTAATTTAATTAATTGCTAGTTGTAACTGTAGGTGCCTTGTTGACTAAAATTGACTGCAAATAGTTGTACCGACTTGAGGTTATTTGGAATAGCTTAAAAGGAGATTTTTAAACATACAAGACAGGTATAAGTATATAAAATGAAGTTTTATCCCACTTTATATATGAAATCACAAATCCAAACAAATATTTGTTTTGATTTATCTTCATGTTCTTCAATTATAAACTCAAAATAAGATAGAATAATGATCCAATTCATAAAAATAACTCATCAATATAACTAGACGTAAAAAAAAAAAGAAATTAAAGAGACACCAAACAAAGTGAAAAATAAAATCTCCCCTACAGTGGAATGACCGTCTGGATATGATTTTATTTTGGGCTCTCATGGAGAAGAGAAAAGAAAGGAAGGCGGGATGAAATGAGCTCAAAAGGAAAGAGAGGGGTTTTTTTTTTGGGGGGGGGGGGGACTTGGTTGGAAGTGCATTTTGTGCGGTGCAGAAGGGAAAAGCAAAGTGGCAATCAAACAGCGAGGCACTCGCAAGTGTCAACAGTTGGGAGTGATTAAAGTTCAAACAAATACTAAAGAAACAAAAAAGTGATGTCATGCACGTATATAAGTGCGAAGTTCCCACTTGAGTCTGTCTGGCTGCGATAATTTTAAGGCTGGCCCACCCCTCCCTGCGTCCTATTCAGCCTTTCAAAAAGGCCATTCGATGTCAGGCCCCAACCCACCAATCACACATTCGCAAAAACCTTCATGGGTCCCACAAGGTAAACACCACTACGATTGTGATCCCTAATCAAGATTAACACTAATTACTCATCCGTCCTAAATATAAGACCATTATACTAATGTGTATACGAATCTTATATTTAGGATCAGAGTAATTTGCCCTCCCTGGTAAAAGCAACGATGACAAACTACCGACTCAATTAATAATTAAGCTGTACTATGTAGAGGTTTGGATTCCTTTTGAAACCAGTTTTTAGAAAAAACGGGCACATACACCGGTGCTTCGTCTTCTCTAGTCACATAGGCAGCACCGGAGAGATAGATCGTGAGCCAATTCTAGTCACATCTCTTTTCACCTGTAATTACGGACATAAATATAAAAAAGATTTGGGAAGTTTAAACCATTGTTAAGTGCAAAAGGGCAGGAAAAAAAATAAAAGAAGAGATTAAGAGGGTGTTTGAATGAAAACCAAACCATAATTTTAAAAATATTTTTACGGTTTACGAAATAAATATATGAAAAAATTTATCTTATTTTGTAAAAAAATGCTTTTAAAAAGTACTTTTTTAATTTTTAATTTTGTCAAACACCTCCTAAAAGGTGGAATGAATTACTAATTAAAGCGCAGGAGAAAGGTTCAGAGAGGATGGATGGGGAATCTCACGCCATCAAACTTTCAAGCGAGGGTGGGAGTGAGCATACGATTTTGTCGTCTCTTGCTTTTCAGTGTAAAGAGTACATAGGAAGGAAGCAGCCAAGCCACTGAATTTTCGGAGACACGTCAGCCTCAGGGGAGTATTTTTCCATGGGGTCCCAGCAACGACGTAGAGGAATGAGTGTGCTCCCTTTCACCCTTTGTGGACCCCGGGTTTGTTTTTGGTCGGTTATTACTTATTAATAATTAATAATCGCCCCCCGGCTTCTTTTTTTTTGGGGCGTACGTACTTTAGTTGCGTCGCGTCGCGTCGCTTTGACCTTTTGAGACTTGGATGGGATCTTTAGGACAATGAATGCCGCTTTTGAGATGAGATCCAGTGTTCTTTTCTCTGCAATTTCGAAGATATCGCATCCAACCACAAACAATGCTCTAATAACGGCAGCTCTGCACTCAAAAGGATATGACCAAAATTGCCTGAATATTCCTCCCGCTCCCTAGCTAGTCTTAAAAGACTTGCCGCCTGGAATTTTGAAGATAGGTGGAAGAGACAAAATAACGGACGCATACATTGAATTTGAAGCTGGGTGGTGGTGACAGGTGGCTGTCTGCCTCCCCATGACTTTGTCTGGCTAGAAGGTGGTGATTATGTACATGAGTATGCTTTATAGGTGCCATTAGCTAGGAATAGAATGGTTGGTATAGTTGAGTTTGAATCGTAACTACCAGACGGAGACTTGCGTAAGCAAAATACTAGTTTTGAACGGAGCTCTGGGTAGCATCAAGAAGGGCTGCGGCGGAGTAATGCAGAGAGAGGGATGGAGAATAAGAAGATGCAAAAGGCGTTAAGCGAGGAGTACTCAGATCATCAGATGGGACCGCTGTACGTGGGATGGCGGCCAAGGAGAAAACGTTTACTATGAAAGCCTCTCCCGTACAAGAATGGGCTCCCTGAGGCTTACCAGTGGAGGGCCTGGGCCTGGTCCTGGGTTGGGCTTGGATCCCATTTCTCCACGCCCAACTTCCAAACAAAGAAGGAAAAGGGAAAAAATATAAAAATTAATGGCTGGGAGAAGGGAGCACGGAAGGAAGAGCAAAGACGCGGTATTGGTGGAGAGTGGAAGCTCCACTACGGTCTACGGATTATGCATTGTGGGCGTTCTTTATCCAGCTTAGCTTGACGTGACGTGACGGTCTGCCCTTTCGCTTCTCCGTCTGCTTTGGCCTTTACTCGTCAAATAAATGGAATATGATGCGGAATATTCCCCCGAGTCTTTTCCTCTCTTTGTCGGTCCCGCCAAATAAACCATTCAACGTCGCCATGCCCTGGTAATTTTGGCACGAGTATGTCAAATTAACCAAAAAAAAGAAAGTTGTCCTTTAATCACCCAATTGCCAATAGGCATGGCTTGTTTTTACTTACCCCAACAACGGACATCGAAGTTGATGAAGCCGTCGCCTACCGCTTATGAATACAGAAATCAAATTTGGCGGCTCAACCAGATGGCTTCTTGTGAATGATAAAAGTTAAGCAGCGGAAGCAAACAAAATCAGGATTCCAAAATGCATTTCCACAAAAAGGCCCCAGCGGACATTATCTCTCTCTTCTCATCAAACAAGGCCCAAATCCCCCCCAAAAAGAATAGCACCACATCAGACTTTTCGCACATGGCTAAAACTGGGAGACCTGGTTGACGGCGGGTGGAGCTTCTCTCCTCTGCCCCTGCCATTCACTACCCCTCCTCTACCCTTCAACGACGTCGCTTGGACTAGTTTAAGTTGTGCCTTTCATATCAGTTTCAAGTTCCGCGGCACTTCTTCGTTCTTTTTCGCGCGTCCTGTTCTTTTTCCCCCAGCAGCACCTCCGTTGTTCAGCCATCGAGCCAGACTTGACTGAATTTCACACATCCCGTTCATCTTCCTCTAGCAGCGCAGGAAAGTCGAATGTGCTGGTGGGAAAAATTTTCAGAGAAGAATTCTGGCAAGGGGGTCTATGGGTACTGCCTAAACTGTTCTACTCAGCATCAACAAGCATAAAAATCATATATCTCATGCACTCAAACCTCAAAGCAGCAAAGAATTTAAGGTCAAAGCAGCATTTTCCAGGATCCTGATAGATTATAGATTGTTCGGTGAAATAGCCAAACAATCATGCGTTTTTTTTAAATAATACTGAATTTATTCAAAAGCTAAACAACAACAGCAAGAAGTCAGGTCCAGTTTCCTTCATAAAATTTATGTAGTTCTGCCATGAGAGCAAACATAAAATTTCCAAATCTTGCAACTAATTCCAACTAGTTTTCAGGTTTGGTACAAATGATTGTGTGAGAGACCCCTACTTAATCTCAAAGGAAATTGGAAACAGCATTACTCACATGGCTCTTTCTCTTCCACGTCCTCCTCGATCTTTATATACGTGTCACAATTTTTTATGGTAATAACAAGCCTTTTTATGACTTTTTTTTTAAAAAAAATTATTATCTAACTTGATCACCTATAGCGAGAGAGAGATAGAAACTTTGTCCAGTACCTTATATTGTCCTCAGGCGTCAAAAAAATACGAGAAGTTCATCAAAGCACGCAGCTTTTGCCTGAAAGTCTCATATGGCAATATAAAAATATCCACACTAAAATGTGATGGGATATGAAAAAAAATAATTATGATATTTCATACCCCATCAAAATGTGTGGCATCATTCATCAATATATCAGTATAGTGTTCTCACAACTGAAATAATCGTTCATGACCTCCTAAAAATTCTGCTCTTTTAAGCAAAATGTGGGCACAAGTAAAAGATTAAATATGAAGAAACACGAAATTACTTTTCCAGATGAAAAGGTGCGAGATTGTAGACTGACCCGAGCTCTTCCCCTATACAAACACGGCACCATAATAGAATGAATACAAGTGAAAATTAGCAAAGAGCGCTCAAAAGAGGAAATTATCTTTCGAAGAAGTTGTAAAATGGTACATTGAAACAAAGCAAAACAGCACCCAGCCAATGTAACAGAGCACCTTATGCCGAGTCTACCTCTATGGATTCCAAAATTCAATCGAAGAGCTTGATTGAAGCTTTTAATAGGCGAGAGAGGAAGATGCCAGAAAGTTGCAGCTTTGGAGTTGCTCGCTTCACCTGGGCCATTAAGTGAAATCTGGGTGGGTCGTTGAAGAGCGGAGGCGCTGCCGGGGAAGAATGGGATGCCCGAAAGGAACGAAGAGGTGCGCGGAACTTGAAACTAATATGTGAAAGCATCATTTAAGTTAGTCAAAACGACGTCGTTCAAGTTAGAGGAGGCGTAGAGAATGGGGAGGGTAGAGGAGGGAAGCTGGACCAGTTGACGGCTAAGCTGGGAAGACAGGAAGGAGATAGTGACTGGTCCCTCTCTACAGAAACTCTCTGATGAAGGAGGAAGACCCTGTAGATTTAGAGCTCTTCCCCCGTTACTTTCAGAGACGAAAATCATTGGTGGAGGATAAAGTTGCGGACTTCGTCGGGCTTCAGGTTTAATGGATTGTATGTAAAGATGTTTTGGGGCAACTGTTTTTGCGGCGATTCTGCTTCTCACCTTCCCTCTCACCCTCAGCCCTTCTCCCTCCCTTCACCTCTTCCACCGTGGCCTCCAGGTTTCTGATTGTTGCTGTTATTTTTATTATTTCTATTCCCTTGCTCATCTCTCCCGTTTTTTTTTTTTTTTTTTCAAATACAGTTTTTTCTCTGCACACACAGCATCGATTACACTTATCAACTGCATTTTGCATGTACTTTATTAATCGTTATGCTTACCATGCAATATATTATTTTGCCGATGTTATCTGCCATCATAATTTCTAGATTCCCATTGTCAAGTTTCTTGGCTTCAGAAGGCGATTATCTCGTCTGTCGGAACGTATAATTGCCGGGCTTCCTTTTGTTTTGTTTTTTTTTTTTTTTGGGGGGGTGGCGCCTCACCTTTGATGGATGTTGAATTACCTTTGAAAAACACTGATTCACCAATCTGATGTCTCAACTGGGATCATCCGAATTCTCTGCATCCGAAATTGCCAGGGTTTACTTTCCACTTTTGCTTGTAATGGTGGAAACAGCTAGCTCATATTATTGCCGATCAGCTAGTAGAATAAACGATTGAGGTCTAATTCGGGAAATCATTAGTCGATTCATTTCTCGATATCCATGTTTCTCTAACGCTGCAACCTTATCAAATGTTTTTGGTTTCATCATTTATTATATCATTCATTTCAACCTTTTCTGAACGATCTGGCTCAGGTGGTAGCTTTGCTAGTGGAAGAATATGCCTCGGAGAAATAGAAGTTTGAGCATAGACAAATTTGAGAGAGTTTGGAGCTACGATGGCTTGCATGCGAGACCTGAGGGTGTTACTTTTTATAGACCCGTGGAGGTCCCCGATGGCTTTTCCTGCCTTGGTCACTATTGCCAGTCCAATGATCAGCCATTGAGAGGATATATTCTTGTAGCTCGTGAAGCCACTTCTTTTGAACTTCAAGCTAGTCATACCCGTGGCTCGTTGTTAGAATCTCCACCTCTGAAAAAGCCCCTAAACTACTCATTAATATGGAGCTCTGATTCACGACATGATGGATGTGGTTACTTTTGGTTGCCAAACCCTCCAATGGGATACAAAGCCATGGGTATTATGGTCACTACCAACCAGAAGAACCTAGTCTTGAACAAGTTAGATGTGTGAGAGCTGATCTCACAGAAACCTGTGAGGTCAATGATGTATTATTAGCCGTTAATTCCAGGTTTTCAAGAATCCTTTTTCAGGTTTGTAATACAAGACCGAGGAAAAGAGGTTCGCTGGGAAGAGGTGTATCTGTCGGGACATTCTTCTGCAGCACCCACTTTGATCCCGAGCAAGAGATAGATATCTCATGCTTGAAGAATCTTGATTCCACCTTAAATGCAATGCCAAATCTCAACCAGATTCATGCACTTATTGAGCATTATGGGCCCACTGTATTCTTCCATCCTGATGAAATATATCTGCCATCATCAGTTCAATGGTTTTTCAAAAATGGAGCCCTTTTATATAAAGATGGCAGTGAGTGGGGAGAAGCCATAGATTACAAGGGCTCCAATTTACCTAGAGGAGGGACAAATGATGGTGCTTTTTGGATAGATTTACCTAGTGATGATGACAAAGCCAGAAATGATCTAAAAAGGGGGAACATTGAGAGTGCAGAACTCTATGTTCATGTAAAACCAGCTTTGGGAGGAACATTCGCTGATATTGCAATGTGGGTTTTCTGTCCATTCAATGGAGCTGTCACCATCAAAGTAGGATTTCTGAACATTGCAATGAAAAGGATAGGAGAGCATGTGGGGGATTGGGAACACTTCACGCTTCGCGTGAGCAATTTCACAGGAGAGCTATGGTCTGTTTTCTTCTCTCAGCATAGTGGGGGTGAATGGGTAAATGCGTTTAATTTGGAGTTTATAGAGGGGAATAAACCAATCGTTTATTCATCAAAAAATGGGCACGCTAGCTTCCCTCATCCAGGGACTTACCTTCAGGGATCATCCAAACTTGGAATTGGAGTGCGTAATGATGCAGGTAGAAGCAATCACTTTGTGGATTCAAGCATCAAATATCAGATTGTTGCAGCTGAGCATCTGGGTGATGAGGCCATTGAAGAGCCATCTTGGTTGCAGTACATGAGAGAGTGGGGTCCTACCATCCTTTACGATTCACGCTCTGAAATCAAAAAGCTGATCGATCTGCTTCCGTTGTTTGTCAGATTTTCATTGAAGAACATTGTTGAACTGTTTCCAACAGAGCTTTACTGTGAGGAGGGGCCAACTGGTCCAAAGGAAAAGGCTAATTGGTTAGGAGATGAAATATGCTTCACTTGACTATCACCGCATCACGGATACATTTTCAGACTACCTATGCCTCAGATTGTTGTTGTAAGTTATAGATACGGTTCTTGTGGGCATAAAAGTTATGAAACCCGTTGAGAGGTTGCTAGGAATATCCAATGCAACATAAACAGAAATACTAAACGCGAAAATTTGCCATGGAGGCGAGGGCATCTGTGAAGTAGGCGGGGGAGTGTAATATGAGACTATCAGGATATGGTGAAGGAATATTGAGAATGTAAATAAATTATATATCGTCATGATTCGAGCACTTGTCTGTAATCCAAGTATTCCAAGATGGTTTTACATATCTAGTTTAAATGAAAGACAAGGCTTCAATTTATAATTGACGTCTTTATTGGCTCTTTCTGTTCACCTAGGGTAGAGTTGGGTTTCACCGAGACAATACCGCGAATTTGCTCGTTGGTCATGTGCGGTTCCAAACACCCCCAAAAAAAAAATCATTCAAAAATCTCAAAATTCTGTAAGGTATCATAAATTTCCATGATGAACCCAAAATGAAAAATAGATCAGCAACTGTAATCAAACTGTATAAGGTTTCATTTACATTAGGCATGACTCGCTGTAGACGAGTTAACCTTCAAGCCACGCCAGCAATTAGAAGATAGTCCCACAGAACATGAGCGTAACCATACAATTTCTTCAAAAAGATTTTGAACATGAAGCCCAATCCATTTACAGCTATAAATATTACAAAAGAATATATATTGACCTCGGGACATTAAACATTTACAACAAACAGATGCATTGGTTAGTTAAAATATCAACGGATAAAATTATATCATCCTTCACCTTATTGCTCTTCCATCTCTGTACTTCAAGTCCTCCCATCTGATCTCTTGGGCGCATTCCCCACAGACCGTACTGCAACCAAATTTAGTGCCTTGACTTCTAAGCGTCAGCAAGTGTGAAAGGTTGGTGCATTTGCGGGTCACAAAACGGCTCCTCACCCTTGTTGGTGAAAGGCTGCGGGATTTTGATGCAGGGGGTGCATTATTCGGCTCTTGGGGCTTTTGAACAGGCAGAGATTCACCCAGTGGTACTCTCTGCACTTCCTCCCATTCTAACGTTTTCCGGTATATACTTCCCAAGCCATGTCTTGCTCCTCTTTTGATAGCTTTTCTTCTTCATTTTCTTGCAACAAGGTTTCGTGTTCATGATAATTGGCAATCCACCTTTCAAAATATCACATCAGATGACGTCAGATGCCCAGATAAGTCTCTGTCTCTACATAATACTGCTACTACAGATACAAACTTGTTCAGCTTAACTGTCCAAGCCTAATAAGAAAATTACCATATTGATATCTCTAATTTATCACTGCCATCAACTCAGTTCTTACAAGTTAATTACCATCACAATATACGAATGTTTTAAAGCGTACGTCAAATAAGTCCTGATGCGATGATCGTCAACTAAATGTCAAAAGAGCTGCCCATGTCGCCCCAAATATGCTCAGTATGAAAGTTATTAACTGAATTTGGCACCCTATCTAGCATTTCGATCAATATATTCTAAAAAATCATCACCGGTATAAGCCAGCTTAGAAGACAATGTTTTGGTGGTATAAGCTCAGCTGCATATAGACTCCTTGGATTTATATGTTACTGAAAAATGAAAATCCAGCTTATTAACTAATTCGCTGTTGCTTGTAAAAGCTGTACCTAGCAGCAGAGGATATATCTTTGTGGTATGTACTCTCGCGAGAAACAGATTCAGATAAAAGGAAAGAAAATGGAAGCACTCTAATCTCTCACTCACAGCAAGAATCTTGCCACAAATAAGAGAATAGCCCAAGAGAATCTCTGAAATAATTGCACTGAAATATTATTTGTCTCACTCCTTGCTAAACAGGGGAGCTCACACACACACATAATGACTCTGCTAACAAGAAAACAACTGACTCTCCCTACAATCTCATGATAACATGAAATAGGAAATATGGAAAGACTCATCCTGATTCATGACTAACTAACTAGCTCACTTATTCTGCTAACGGACTCCATAAACATAAAAACTGAATTAAATAAAATGAGACCAGGTCAGCTTGTTAAACTGAATCCCTCTTATGTCACCTCTGATAAGTCACGCCCCACTTATTGGAAGTCTTATCACTTTGCGTGGCAAAATTTTGAGAATTTATGTAAAGAAAAATCCCACTCAATTATAATTTATTTGTTTCAGATCAAGCCAAACATACTTAATCATAACAAAACAATGAAATATAATAGCTGCAAGTCCAGAAAACCTACTTGGGATGATGCTTGCTAAGTAAGCTTTTCCATTAGCTTATCGGAATGGCTGGTTCCATTTGAATGTGGGATCGTTTGTTCCAATGAATGCCCATTCTCTTGGCTCAGTTCAGCCAACGTCTCAGGGTTTTCATCATCACCAAACTCAAAGAGATGTAACATCTCTTCTTTAGATATAGTCCTGTACACTTGCTGTCTGTCAACCACTCTAGCAGCAAGCCCCTCCTTTGTTACCTATACGGACCATTTCACTGTCATTAGAATGTCACAAACATCCATAGAAGGCAAATCACATTCCGTTACCTGGCGCTTATATATTTTCTCTTCCATAGTTCCATGAGCCAGCAATCGGTAAGCAAACACAGGCTTTCTCTGGCCATACCTGCAACATGGAAAAGATTTCCAAGCATGACCTTGATCAACTGATAGAACACTAAACTTTTGTGAATAACCAAA